AGAGAGAGAGAGAAAGGAAGAAAAGGGGGAAATAAAGGATTCTATTTCGCTCGGCGTCGCGCTGCTGCCTGCAGGGGAACGGGGCCAGGGAGGCGCCGCGGCTGCAGGTGCCTGGCGCGCGGCGCAGCCCGAGCCCGCTCGGCGGGAGGCTACCGGGAGGGGAGGGGCGGGGCGGGGCGGAGCGCGCGACTAGCCGTTACGGGAGGGGCGGGGTCAGCGCGAGGAAACGGCCGTTGGCGCCGGCGGCGGCGTTTGCGCCGCGCGAGGCTCCCGCTGCGGCTCGGCCTGGGGCGCGGGGCTCCCTGCCTGGGCAGCGCCCACCGGGGCGGGACAGTCAGTCTTGTCAGCAAAGGCAATTTCTATTTCTCTTTTCAAGGGATCATGCCTTGCAAGTTGTTACATAAAGTTTACAAGKACTTGGTATTCGAGCAGTAGGAATCCCAAATCTGTACTAGAGTCCACAAGGCACTCTTGTAAGAGTCGCCCTGGCATAGCTATGAGAACATACTTAGTATACACTTTACTGAAGTTTTTTTTATTATTATTTTTATTACTACAGCTCACAAACTCTCACACCCAAGCCTACCTTGGTCATTAATAGCTGGCTTTATTAATATGCTTATTTAAATATTAATAACTGGGTTAAACTCCAGTGGCTTTTCTTGAATACATTAGGTTCCCATCATATGCAAGTAGCTCCGTGATCCTCCTTTCACGGTTCTTACATATGTAAGTGCCTCCATTGTGTGACAAATGTATTACCAGGCAAAATAACATGTAGGTATCTTTTGATTTTTTCAGTATTAAAAGAGCTGACAAATAGTAGCACGTTGACACTTGCATGTCTCTCAAGAGTTCTCAGAAGGCATCTAAACATTCAGGTTTTCAAAGCTTTGCGTTACCCAAAAGTATTAAGTGAATTTCTCCTGAGGCCACTAAAACAAAACCAATACTCCCACTTTCACAGCTCTCCAGCCAACATCTTTTTATCTGCTGAAATGAAATTTCATATCTTTCCTTCTAAAGGCAAAATTTGCTTCTAGTTACACCACTAATATCAGTGGAATTATGCTGGATTTGTGCCAGTGTCAATGAAAAGCAGAGACTGGCTCTAGTCCTCAGTTTACAGGATTATAACCCACTTATACCCTGCTGTTTTTCTGTTTTAGAAATTGCAGCTTCAGTGGCAATCTGAAAGAACTTTAATTACTATTACCATGGTTCAGTATTATATATGTAGTTTCAAATAATCCTGTAACTGCCTCTGTGGGCTTATATTTACTGCTGTTTACTTTCCCTCACAGATTTTTAAATAAAATAACTTCATCACTTTAGCAATTTTAGATCTCATTGCTTTTGAAGAAGTGATATTGCTAAATATAGAAATGCCGTGTAAATATTTATAAGATTCCCCTTATGAGGCTGTCTTTTTCTGCGTCCTTTGAAGGACAAAAGCATGTGTGTGGGTATGTGGGGGATAGGAGGACAGCTGTGCTAAGAATTCCTAGGAAAAGAGGGTGATGAAACTGCAGCCATCCTTCCTGAGACTTGTTTTAGGGAAAGAAGCTTTAAATTCAACAAGGATTCCAACAGAGTGCTAGTTTCTTGTAAGATCAGCTAAATTGTTGCATCTCTGACACATGCTTTCTTTTCACTTTGCAGGCCAAGCTGTTCCAGCTCCCTTGGCGTTGCAGGTACCACAAGCAGACCTGAGTTTCCTATTAACAGACTTTCCTCTGGTATGGCCTACAGGTTGGTTTCTATTACACGAGCTTTACGTTAGTATATTTAGGTGAATGAATACGTGAACCTATGCTTTCTTAATAATTCTTATGTGTTTACAAATGCCTTTTTTTTTCTGAAAACCCTGTTATAAACAATGCTAGTTACTCCCTTTTCCCTACTTAGAGCTGCTGAGGATGTTATCAGATTATCTGAAAAATATATTTCTGTATGCTTTAGAGATAATTTGCAGGATGGCTGATCCATGAATCAACATGCACAGGATTTTTTCTCTGCTGCCTGTTAGGTATCATATCCCCTGCCTTGGACTAATATGGAAATATTGCAGCACAGTTTTCAAATTTCCCATTCTTCTAATTTAAACACACTTTTGTTGCTTTGACCTATCTATAGAAAGGCCCAGTCTGACTCTCTATATAATAAAAATATGTTGTTGCACAGTAATTAATGTTCCCCTAAAGCATTCTATTAATTTATTGTTTTAATCTAAGGGGCAAAAAAAAATCTGTTCATGTGATATGTCCCACGGAGGCTTTGTACAATCTATGTGTGTACTAGCAAATAAAACAGACGGTCTACATAGTTAAATCTCATACAGTCCAGTCCCTAGGAGCTTTTCCTCCCATGCCTACAAACATTGGACCAGATGATTCTCAGGGCTGTTCTGTAGTGGGGGGCCCTGCAGAGACCCTTCGCACGTGGTGGTTTGTGTGAAGCTGCCCAGGTTTGGAGCCCAAGAGAGTTTCCTTGCAGAGCTGCATGTCGCTCTGTGCCAGYTGTCTTCAAAGCCCCAGGATGTTTGCGGGCACAGTAATGGTGTCGATACAGCCATAGATTACTGTCACTTTATTAACAGTGGCAGGTGCTTGAAGGCCTTGATGAATGCAGTCCTGCCTGCAAAGACCGTGGGATCCAAATCCACATCCTGCAGTGTGATGTGGGCGCATTCCAGTGGTGTGGGGGRCCTCCTTTGAACCGTGCTGCCAGACACCCTGGTTTATATAGGCAGCATGTATGCTACACGTCACTCTTATGCGCTTGGGGATGTGGGATGTACCACAAGAACAGTGACATGTTCCAGGGGACTGAATGCATGATTAAGGACTCATGAGTTTTCAGGTTGGATTTGTCCCTGATTTGCATTGCTTTAGGCAAGTTATTTGTACAAGGTTACATTTTCTCCATCAGTAAAGTAAGAGCTAGCTATTTCACAGATGTGTCATGGGATTAATTAGTTTTTTTTTTTTAAACAACAATATGAAACTATTTAGTATTAATGCTTATTAGTATGAAAAACCACAAGAAGTGAACAAYCCAATATTTAAGTCACATTATTTATAAAGATGTTACTTGCATCATGGATATAAGCAGCCTGTAAACTTTACCTTTACTCCTTATTTCAGAAGCATTCTGCTTCTGTCCTCTACCTGAGCACATATTATTTACACCTTTCCAAAGGTGTTATCCTCTTTCAGAAATAAATGGCAACGGGAGAATTTCCAGTTTTTCTGTTGCAGGATGGGTTGACAAGAAAATAGTTTCACCGTAATGTGGGACCCAGAGTGCTCCAACCATTCAAGCTCTTCTGCTCATTCTACTCTTACAGCTATATGATTTATATACATTTACAAAGTTGGTGCTAATTCTTTCTACCTATGTAGCTTCTGTAACTTCATTGGAGGTCAAATGTGTTGCTGGGAGGGTGGAAAGGAGAGCAGAACTAGGACAAGAACTTGAAAAACGATTTTTTAATTTCCTGTAACTTAAACTCTTTACATTCCTCATGCTTTTCTTTTCTTTCTTATCAGATAAATCTGAGTTTTTCCCCAGAACAGCTATCGTAAGGTAATCGCTGAACAGCCATAATAGCTGTCTGCATATTTAATTTTAGGTCTGTGTGCTGTTGATTCTTCTGTTTTCATGGTACATATTAGGAATTTCTGTTTGCTCTTGTTTTGTTTGTGTTGAATCTCTGAATGAATGGTTAATGGTGATCCTGTTTTGCATTCCTCCATTTTACAAGCTCAAACACAGTTTTCGGATGACATTTTTGTTAAATGACTTGCAGATTGTCATTAGTTTTGAAATACATCTTTGTCACATGAGAAATGATCTCTGTCAAACACCAAATTCTGCCACAATCCTCTGTCACTACTAAATTTTCACCAATAGTTTGATGTCCTCTCAAATGAGTGTTTAAATACAAACTGGAGTTCAAGTGAATTAAACCTAGATAGAAAAGTATTTTTAAATGTAATAGAAACAGTAACCCRTGTTTTGAGCCCTTTGTGCACATAGGAAGTCTTTTTCTTTCTCTTGGGAACAAATTGATGCTGCAATTTAGTGCGAGCCTTAGCACAATATTTCCTTGAGTCTGAAGCTATGTTAGTTTGAATATTGAGGCTCAAAATCTTTCCTTCCCAGCAAATCTTGTATTCACTGATCCAAGTGTGGCCAAACTTTTATTCAGTCAGTTCCAGTCTTGAATATTGGTGATTTTTCTTTTTCCTTTCTTACTTGTACACCTGGGCAGATTTGCTCTAAACTGTTTGTGCCACARTTTGACTGAGAATTGGCTTTGGAAAGAATAAAAATTTTGTAGCATACAATTTAAATGTTGTAAAGAGATTACTAGTTTAAACAAAGAGCACAAAGAGCAATTTTACTTTTTTTTTTTTGTTGAAACTTCTATATTTCATATGAGTGAAATATACTTGTGTCAATGTGTATGTTTTTTCACTTAATTACTTTTAGGTTATCACTGAATTTTTTACGTACTGGGTAATGTATTTTTCGGCTGTTGCATTTCTAATTTTAGACCATTTTCTTTCTCCTGAGATGTASAGTGGTTGCTTTTGTCATGTGTATGGAAACATGTGATATTCATTGGAATACATGTTCATCTTGGATGATATAAAATATAGCATACCGGATTTATGAATTGTTCAGAAACATCTATGGTAAGCAAGAGCACCAGTGGGCAGCAGTCTGTTTGGAGGCATTGCATAGACTCGTGGCCACGTGTTGTCCCTGGCTAGTAGAGACAGAAGCTTTACTTGCTGCTGCTCTTTGCCTAGTAATCCTGTGTGTGATTTTTTCTTCTTTCAAACCTTCTAGAAATACAGCTATGGCAACAAAGCAGACAATAGGATTTTTTTCCCTGATTCCTATCTAAGAGCTATGCGAGTGCATCTGTGAAGGCTAATACCAGAAAGAGAGCCTAGCAGAGTATGGAAATGAAGCTGTGTACAATGTACAATTGTGTGAAATGAAGTTGTGTATCAGATTGYGATCTGATTGTGATCACAGTTGTGTATCAAATTTTCCTGTGGCCAAATACTTTGCTGTAATTTCTACATATGTTTGAGAATTACATATTCACTGAAAGTCATGAAGCAGCATTTTACCACTGTGTTTAGGCTGATGTTTTATCATTTCACGTGAACCTCCTGCAGTAGGTGTTTTAAAAATGGACATAGGTAATGAAAACKTCCCTGGTTCTTTAGAGCTATATTTAATATTTAGAACTGTATTCACAATTTAGAACTAGGGAGGTGCAAAGGAGTGTGCTGTGATTTATTACTCCTTGATAACCATCACCTTGTATTTGTCAAAATATATTGACAAAAGCAGTAGAGTGAGTGATCCAACTTACTAGTTCAGACAGCGTATTGTCAAATGCAGCTACTCTGCACAAAACCTGTGCTGCTTTTTCCTCCAAGCACTGTGTTGTGCTGTTGATCTTATATGGGCTTGGGTTAGAATTGACTTGAAGATGGCAGTATTATGTGTTAATTTACTGGCAAATCTAAAAATTAATTAACTAGTCTAGAGAATGTAAGTCTTAATTCACAGCTCTTTAATTTCCATTCTTTATTATTGCATATATTTCAATATGAGACACCAGTCTATTTATGCATGTCTATACTTACAATTTATTTCTTGGATTATGCCCATAAAGCCAATATGGATTCCCTCCTCAGCCTGTACCGAGAGACTTTATAGAGCTTTTGAAGAACTGTATTATTTTTAAAATAAAATTTTAAAAATCCCTTCTCATAAGCTGATTTTGGTTTTTTCACCCATTTTCTGTGTTAAAAAAACAAACAAAAAGAGATGCATGAAGGACAAGCATTTTTCCTTTGTGAATTTGGCACCATTTCACATGTAATAATTTTCTCTGCTTAGTTAATTACAGGCCGCTTCCACAAAGGTTCTCATTAATGAATGGCCTTAGGTTTATGCTCCCTGTCTTTGGCATTGTTGATGGGCAGAAATTTACACAAACAGCTTTGTGTTTTTGCAGCTGTTTAGGAACCCTTTGGATGTTTATAGAGATGCTTTTGTGGGAGCTAGAGAAAGGAGAAATGTCTGATATGAATGAACAAACAGGACAAAGTGAATATGTCCACCCCACCTGCACASCTTTCTCCGAGACCAGTGTGTGATCTGTGCAGCGTCATCTAGCTTTTGCTTGGGACACTGTCTTCCCTTTCACCATGGGGCAATCTCACGTGTTACCCTGCCACTGTTAATCAAACAGCTAATCAAACTGCTGAGATTATAGGTATGTATCATTTACATTCAATTTAATAGCCTGATCTCTCRCTTGGTAGTTATTAGTTGCAATAACTTAACATGATCCTCCCAAATAAATCTTGTATTTAAATAAAGGATGTATCTGTCATAACCAACAGGTGCCCAAAGAAATTAAATTATGTATCTGTCCTCTAAAAATCATCAAAATAACTCTAATATGAATATTATTTAGCACGCTCTGCATTACTTGTGGAAATTTTTATTAATGTTTCATAGAACAATTTGAGTGTAAATCTAAATAGGTTATCTATTTCTAGATATAGCTGTGATATAAGTAACAAAACCCTATATATTGATCTTTTCAAAGAATGCTTCTTTACTAGAGCTGATAAAATAATAGCAATGGAAATTATTATTTTTTTAATTCTGGAATTTCACTGAAGTTTCAAAACACTGTAACCAACTCTTTTGATCTGACATTTTTCAGTGAAAGTCTTCATCAACAATGTCACTGAAGATGAAAAATCCAGAGGGGAAATACAGTCATGAATTTGTATGTAACACAGCTGGATTCAATATCATGGTCATCAAATCTGTAGAGCTTTACAATGGTTTTCAAAGATGACTACTTGGTGTAAAAAAAAATTACATATAATATATATGTATGAACCTACTGAAGGTAAGATATTTGCATGTTAGGCATATACAATTTACTTGCAAAATTGGTAGCTGTGTCTAAGGTCATAGTCACATGTCTGAAGTATCTGTTTGGTTTATGAAGATTCCTATTTCCATATGGGTATGTATATACTCCCATGAAACAAGTTCCTTCAAGCATTACACTGGGAACTTATATGTCCTGTTCTTCTACCTACAAAGCAGTTCCTGTGTGTTGTCCACCCTGAGTTAAGTTTTTTGATTAATAAATGCTTTAAATTAGAAAGATGATAAAATATATTAAAATCCAGCGTGATAAACCCCAGTTTAGCTATTTTTATTGCAAGATTAAGACACAATGTATTACTCTAACTGCAGAAATTACTAGGTAGAATTCTATGGCCTATGCTATATATTTGCCCAGACTCATACCTTTATAATCTATTACTTGGAATATACTGCTCAAATTTTCTGTTTACTATTGCTTCAGTTATTATTCTGTGTCCTCCTTATGACAATATTTTGCTTGTATGAAAGAAATACTTTTAAGCCAGTTGCATTTCTTTGACTGATTTTGAAATCTCTTCTACAGTTGTAAGCTAAAGTGTTGACCATAGGTTTAATGTGTGGAATAGCTCCTTCCAGAGTAAATTAAATATAATGACTCAGTAGTTACTCTACTGGGTTTAAACCAATTGTGGATCAAATGCTAAGAGGTATTAAATAGATCATTATCTGTCATCCCAATATACTCTTTGAGTATAAATGCATTATACCTGACGAGGTAATGGTGGTAGTGAAATCACTGCTGAACCTAATTACTTTAAAATGGGTAGACGTCTGCTATATGTGCTTCAACACAGCATTCTTCATGCTGGGAAAATGGGATATTCAAATAGCATCTGATCTATGGCATCTGCTAAATGCAGACAATTGTTTTAGCAGAAGCTAGCAGTTAGTTATAAAAAAAAAAAAAGTTAATTACACTTGACATTTAAATTATAACTTCTAGGCACAATTTATATTTAATCCAAGATTTTGCCAAAACATACTGGTATATAGTTTATTTGTTGCTCCCATAAATGTCTTTGCAACTTTCATTAATGCAGTATAATTTGCAGTAATATTAATTTCCTTATAATCTGTGATTACACATGGATTTTGAAATATGTGTGTACACGTATGTGTAATTGTGAAATGTGCAACTATTTAGAGAAATACTTTCATCACAAAATATATAACAGGAAAACACAATGCTATAGTCTCTATTCTGCAAAAAATTTCATACAAACAGCAGTACCTGCATAGAATTTGTTACAAGAAGAGTCTAATCAGTAGTAGCATAGCACAGAGAAAATGGAGGTGAATTACTAAAACTCTTTTATTCCAGCTACTGAGAAGTTTCAGTGTGCCAAGTTAGAATTAATTTGTACAGCAGGGATCAAATCTTCCTGGGTGGCTAACAGTGAGTGAAGAGGAAAATGGATTCTCGTTAAACATTTCTATTAAGTTTGCATGCTGTCATTCAACTGGAAATTAAGTTAGTTAGTGGCTCATGTCACACAGCACTCAGATTAGAGTGGCTCTTGTGGCTCTGCAAATTTAGGAAAATTGGCAGGAGGGTGGTTCCCATACTGGAGAGGATGGCTCCTGGAGTCTCCTTCTTTACATGCACAGGGAATAAGTACATCCACTGTCCCTCCATCAAGACAGTATAAAGGCTACATGAGGAAATATGCTGCTTTATATAACACTTSAAAAAGTATTTTAATAGTAACACAAGAAGAAAAGGAAATGGATGATGGTGACACGATACAGCTGGTATTTTGAGAGACATCATTTTCTGAGAAAAGGAGATTGCATCTGAAGAGTGTTACAAGCTAAAGTAACACCTCCTCTGCATTTGGAGGTTAGTGGAGAGTCTATGAAACTCTCARTGGACATTCAGTATCTGATACTGAAAGTTAGAAAGGGGAGGTTTTCCTTTAGGGCTGGTGAGACAAGCTGTAGCCTACTGCAAGCAGACTTGCAGTAAATCAGAAACTGCTTGCCCTCTGGGGGCAAAGGAACCTGGTTTGTGGCTAAATTCATGCAGTGTGATAGTCCGCCATTCTGAATTGAATAAAGGCAGGTTGGCAAGTTTCAGACAAAACTTTTTATTGGCCTTGGAGGTGGCAATGAGGATGGGTCTTCACTAGTGCGTACCTACTATAGGCTTTTGAGCTTGCTGTTGCTGCATTTAAAGTGCAGAGAACTGATGAGGGGATTAGGTCATGTTGGGTCTACACAAGAAAATATTGTTGTCCCTTCTCCCTGTCAAAAGGAGCTTCTCAGCATGCACACTTCTGAGTTTGTGCTTCTCAGTAGGGGGTTTGTACATGGTCACATCACTTTCTACTGTCACCTCCTGTTCTTGCATAGCTTGCATGTCTTGCATAGCTATTTCATGCCTCAAGTTAAAGCAAAGGATAATTTGAAAAGTTACAGGCTTAGGTATATGAGAGGCTTACACCAATGCACATGGTAATGTTCCAGACCGGAAGAGAAGTTTAACTTACATTGCTGTAACTAGAAATTCCTGTGGAGACTTTGTGTGGGAATGAAAAATAAATGGTATGTAATTTGCAAAACATGAGTTTGGTTGCAGCCACGTTCCAAATTTTCTTGCAGTTCTGCATTTGCCTTCCCATTCTGCTTTCTCACCCTTCCAACCTAAGCAGCCAGTCAACTTAGTGGTGTTACCTGTAGGGAACAGAGCACATGGTCATCACCATGCAACACCTGACACGAGCCGCTTGTCTGAATACAGGGGGTTGGCCWTGTTTTGCCTTTATCTGACACCTCTGATATCAACATGGCTGGCAAACACATTGCTTCAGGCCTGTACCATACTTTCTCACCTGAGATAAGATTCTGGGTCTTTTCAGTGTCTAAGAAGGGAAAACAAATCCAAGCCATCATGTAAAGAAAATCTGACATGTTTGAGGACACTACCTTGGCAGCAGAGGAGCAAGGTCTCAGTTGCGTTATTGTGCAATTTTCCTGAAACTTAAGGGAAATTATTTTCAACCCTTGGTAAAGACTGCATCAACATTTGGACAACAGATTAAAAGGTTTTTGGAGGAGACAGGCATTTACACACACACACACTCAAGCACAGAGCATGATCATATAGATCTTATTTTCTCAGAAAGCATGGCTACAAAAAGATCACCTTAAGGTAGCAATGCTTTTATTGATTGCATCTTTATTAAGGTAAGATTTAGAAAAGCTGATTTTAATCAATAGGAACTCCATCTGTGTTTCTTCAGTGTACCAATAAAATGCAGCAGTATGAAATACTGMTGAAATTACTGATGAAACAATAAAATGCGTCAATATGAAAACTTCATATTGGTGAATATGAAACTGACAAGTTACCAATATTTTGAGGCAGAGTTACCAATATTTTCTATTCCTAAGTGCTATAACTCATTGACAAACAGCAATAGTGGTACCACAAAATTTAAGGCTGCTCTAAAGGTACATGAAATTATATGTTTTAGACACAAAAAGCATTYTCTTAAAGCTGCAGGACCTTCTTACCTCTACATCATCATTCATYATTCTGTTGAGTGATAGTAATGCATATGGTTTGGCCATTATGGTCTAGGTCTGTCTGTGAAGACAGTCCTAGAAGGAGGGGTTGCTCAGTTGTGCTGTAAAACGCAGTATCACAMTGGTCAGTGCCAGTAGCAAGAGAAAAAAGGTGAAGGGTGAACCATAATCCTCTTAATCCCCCTTTTGAATGTATTTTGTTGCTCTATCTCCATTAATCTTCATGGAGAAATGCTTCTTTTCTTCCACTGTTTCACTGTATGGGGAAGTATAAAATACTGCTATGYTAGCAATTCTATAAGTGGTCCATTAAGCCATCCTCAAAAGGAAAACTRATTTTAATTCTATGCCATGTCCTGATTTTTTTTTTTTTTTTTTAATTCAAATATAGCCCCCATGACCTTTAAAAGTCTTGTGTTGAGCTAAGGTGAAATAAGAGAGCAGCACAGCTGTAACCAATTGTGTCCTAGATTGCAAGCAACCAGGCAGTCACCTGATAATGGTAATCTCGCTGAGCTTGGGAGGTGCCACCTCACAGTTTTGAAGCATGTGAGAAGTAAAGTAGAAAGGACTTCATGGCCAGGCTTAAAAAAATAAAATAAAAAGTAGAAGGGATCCTGTGGAAGATACAAATTATTGTATTTCACAGAAAGCACATGTTTATTTAAACATGCATCATGSTGAAACCCTGCTAGTATGTGAAATGAGCATCATGCTGATTATTCGAAGTCGTTGTTCAGACCAACTTCTGGTAGACTAAGAGCTGTATAAATCATTTTCTCAGCTCTGCAGAATTTTCTTGTTTGTCGCTCAGATGTCATGCAGGCGTCAGCATGTACTTGCAATACAAGGCAGGTATTCCTTGCTGCCTCAAGCATCCTGATACAGTCATCATTTAGCCTTCAGTTTCCCCAGAGCATACTTCTTTATCACCCTGCATGAACTTTTGTGATGGCTAATTCTTTCCTAGTCTCATTAGCCATGCTGTTAGAGGACAGGCCAAATTTCCTGGAATAGAAGAAAGTGAGTACTGTTTATTTCCAAGTGTAACTTTCTCTAATAAGTAAGTATTTTTCCATGAGGAAAGTGAGATTTTGTTTTTTTTTTTTTTTATGGCTAACTTTTAACAGTGATAATAAGTCTTACTATAGTAACAACAAAAACTCTATAATGCGTTGAAGAAATAAACCTTCCCATGTTTTCATCTTCACCTGAAATACCTTCACCAGTTCCTGTGAATTCTAAGGCTTTGTATATGGTATAAACACAACAGTGCTTGGGTTTTATTAATTGCATGAATTAATTGGAAGATTCTCTCTTTGCCAGTTCTTGTTGAGAAGCTACGCTACAAGCCTTACAGAAGCTTTCCTAGCTGTCTCCAGCCCTACTGCAACCATTTGAGAAGTAGATGTCTGTGTCAAGTGG